TTTTTTTTTTTTTTTTTTTTTTTGCCAAATTAATAAAAACATTTTTTAATTTTATAGTTTCATTAAAAAATTTCTCAATTTTTAAAAAATAAAAATAAAAAAACTCTTAAAAAATATCTTACCAAAAAACTGTAAATATGTTATTTCCAAAAATACACTTAATTTTCAAAAGTTTTATTAACCTTTTTATTTTTAAAAAAAAAAACTCCAACTTTTTTATAAAGGTAAAAGCGGTTAATATTATTTTTTAAAATTTAATAGATATTTTTTTTACATATATTTTTAAACTTTCTAAAAAGTTGAACGGTATTAATGTAAATTTTGTTAAGTTCAAAAGTATTTTTGAAACACGATTAAAAGTTTAATAATATTTTTTAAATAAAGAACTCATGATTTTCTTTAAGATTATAAGAATATTTTCTAGACTTTTTAAAAAGTTTATGGATATTTTTGAAGATTTTTTTTTAAATTTTTATTAATTTAGTTTTTTTTTTTTTTTCTCAAATGATTGTTTATTTGACTAAAATTACTTAAAAAAATGATAGTTAAAACTATGGGCAATTTTGGAGAGATGGAAAATAATAACTCGTTTTATAGTTTTTATTTGAACCAAACATTTAATAAACTATTAATACTATCTTTTAATTTGAAAAAAAAGTAATAATTATATATATCAAATTCTAAACTCAGTGTTCCTCTGTAAGGATAGTTTTTACATTTAAAAACGAGAGATAGTGATGTAACCATGTCATAGAAAAATATTGAGGCTATCAAACACCAAATCTAGACTCTAAATTTTGATCGTGAAATTATTCACAAATAAGTGTCGGGGCCATTATTCTTTTTACCAAATTTATACGCAAGTCCATAAGTAAATAATTACACTTAAAATTTTATTTTTTCGATAAAGTGAATCAACTAACAAGAAATAAACGCATTACTATATTTTAATGACAATCAAACTAGCATTTTAACTTAGGTGCCGTGTCAAGTACAATATTAGTAGAATCACGTTAAATGAACATAAAACACTGGAACACTCTATTTCATAATAATTTTAGTTTTATTTTTGAAGAATCGGTTTATTTCCGCACGTATCTCTTCTTTGGTTTTCACCGATTTTAATGAAATATTTGAATTCTTAATCAAATTTAAAAAATAAAACCGTTTAAATAATAATAATAATAATAATTTGCATAAAACTAAAAATTAAGTAATCTAATATTATTTTCTTAAAAAATAAAAATTTAAAGATAATGACGTGGAATTGTAGTATCTCGAACTATTTAATAAGTATTATTTAAAAACAATTTAAACATCATGACAAGCTTTAAATTTTAAGGAAAGTAAAAGTCAATGGAAGACGGTCCACATGGGAAAGCGGTCCGGTCCAAAACGGCTGACTAAATAATGGCGGATTACCCGGCTGTCAGAAACTTATCCTCCTGCATGTACAGTCACGTTAATCACGGTCCAACCACAACCGTTCATTGCGTGAATCCTGACTGTCAGCCTTCATTCTAACTGTCACAGTCCCTCCAACCATTATTTAAAATAATTATATACCAAAGTTTGGCTCATAAAATACAAATCAAAGCTACGCGTAAAGTTTTGTTTTTTTATTGAGTTGAATTATTTCATTCAATTTTTATATTTAATTTGAATGATTTGTGGGAGAATGTTCAAACAGCGTGACAAAATTCTATATTGACTAATATTTATATTAATTAATGCAACAATTTTTCACGAGAAACAATATGAAAATTATTTAATATAAATAATAAATTATGTAAAACTAAGAGATATTATGTCCCGTTGTTATCTACTTGTGTTCAAGTTTTAAACTGAAATTGAGTTGACACGTGTCTAATTTTGATCACTTGGGGAGGGTAGTGATTAGGGCTCGTTCAAGTCGGACCATTATTTATTCTCAATTTCTAAACATTCGAGTAAAGAAAGAGTACATCAATCACATCTAAATTAGAGCAGTCATGAAAATAAGATGACTGAGAAAAAAGGAAAATAATTGGGCGAGAAGCAGTAATGTAGCTATAATAGCTAAAGCGCACATCTGACAGATATTAATAGGTTCTTAATATGAGAATGCGCTTAAATTAATTATAATTATATGATAATTTTGTAGGCATGTTTTAATTAAAAATTAATTTTTTATTTTATTTTTGAAGCATTTATTTTATAAGTTCACAATTGCTTTTGCTTTATGTTGGTTGAAAGTTGGAGTTGGGTTACCTACTCTTTATATTTAATAATATAATAAAAATAAGAATAAATATATGCATTTTTAAATTCTTTTTTAAGCAAAATATATTATTTAATTCTAAAAAGACATTTGTCTTTACTCTCTTTAGTGGGAAGGAGATGAAATCCCTTCAACCAACCTTTGTTAATTTTTGTCTTTTTCCCAAATAAAATAACCATGGTAAAAAAAAAAAAAATATTAAAAAATAGTTATATTATAAATTAATTATCCCCCATTAAACTTAAGAATAAGAAATATATTATTTTATAAGATTTTTTTATTTGTAACCATTTATGATTTAACCTTTAAATTTTAGTACATAATAAAATAATAATTTAAGAAGTAGAATAATTAAGAAATACTTAAATTAAAGTTAATGATTTAAAAATTATAATTCAACCAAAATTCACTTAATTAATTTAAAAATAATAGGTTTGTTTTTTTTAATCATTAATTAATTTTTTTTGTAAATAAATAGGCTGACTTTTGTTTTCATTAGCCATTAAGATTTTTTTTAAAAGGGTAGTAGGTTTAACTGTTCAACCAAATGTCTCAATTACAAAATTTTAAAATATTATTTTTACCCATTTTTCTTTTTGGATATTTATTAATATAAATTTAATTTTCCCACCAAATGAGTTTGAAATTATTTGATTAAAGAAAGCTAGAAAGTGGTTGACATAAAGTACATGGAACATTATTGATAATACAAGCTAGAGATGTAAAAAAAAAAAAAAGAAAAAAAAAAAAAGAAAATCATGTGTTTTCTAAATGCTCGTAAGTTGCTCAAGCAGGTGATACTCAAGCTACTTACTTTTTCGAATTTTGTATGTATCGAGAAGAACGAGATTGAAATGTGCCTGTAAATTATCCTGATCGATGCTTAAACTGTGAGTCAAGTATTGGTCAGAGTAATTTATGTCAACTCGATAGACAATATTATTGTCTATGTACTCGTAAGTTGTTCAATTAAGTGATATTCATTCAACGATTGTTCACTTTTTCGAATTTTGGTGCGTTCGTGAATAAAATGGAAAAAAGGTGGAGTTTTTGGCTTTCCACAATGATCCTTTTATGATTTATAATTATTTTTTGAAGTCCTTTTGTGAGTGGTTGTATTCAAGTTTTAGGGTTTTGCAGCGTTGAAATTTAAACACAAAAGGAACAAGAAGACAACATTGCTGTTCCTCGTGCAGACATAAAAAAGATATTGTTGGAATTTTGTATGAAAAAGTCAATCCATTTCATATGCCTAAACCATCTTCTTTTTTGTTGTTTCTCTTCTACAATCATCAACTTTATTAACTTATCTTCGAGTTTTTTCGATTTTTTTAAAAATAATTTTGACATAAAAATCATACTCAATTAAATTTAAGAACTCTCGTGAACGTTTATGATATAGAAACTCGTGAATCACAAACGCTAAAGCCTCAAATCAAGATGATTTCATTCCGAACACTTTATCGAAAATATTTATTGAAAAATAAGATTTTTAAATCTAAAATATCTAAAAATCCTACGACTGACATAAAATATATAACATGAAATTTGAACCCTATGTATCTCATTTCATCATCTACGTCCAATATGGTATAAATTATATTATAAATGAATATTCGTTTTCTTTATATGAACATGAAATTAAAAATAAAAACCAAATTTGAACCGATAATAAAGAAAAGGGCTTTCGTGGGTAGGCCCACTGGGCTTTGATGGGTAAACTGAGAAAAGGCCCAAAGGTTACAAGGGCCCAAATCCTCATGGTGAACTCATCAACCTTGAGCCGACCGTTCGAGAAGAACTCGATACTAGTGTGATACTTGACAAAGAAGAAGTCTCGAATGTTTTACTAATGATCTCGAGAGGATAAAAAATGTTCGAGAAGAACTCGAAACTAGTATGATGCTTGACAAAGAAACAGTCTCATGTATTACGATATCGAAATTTTTCGTATTTGTCGTTGTCATAAACCTAGTTTGATACATCTCGAAAAATTCATTTTTTTAATAAAAAATCAATTATTTTTTTATTTCACCGTATATAAAAATAAAAATGATTAATTTTAGATGATAATATATGTCTTTTCTATCGAATTTGAACCTTAAAAAAAAAAAAAAATACTAATTTCCTCTCGACCAATATTAAAAAAAAAAAAAAAACTCAATAAATGTGGTCCTCTTAATTTTACATTTATTATCACTATAAAAATCCTTTTAAAAACTATATTTAATATTATTTTACAAAAAAAAAAAACGTTTTGATAAAGTATGGAAAAAAAACCC